GTGGGGGGGGGGGGATAAAAAGAAAAGAAAGATAAGAGACGCGAGGAGAGAGGTGGGGAATTTTAGAAAAATTTTTTTTTTAACTTTTTTTTTTTCACTACAGAAACAAGAGTGAGTACGAGAGAGAAAGAAACTGTGTGTGCGAGAGAGAGAGAGAGAGAGAGAGAGAGAGAGAGAGAGAGAGAGTGAGAGAGAGAGAGAAAATAGAGGCATCGGTACCTTTGCGCGTGGTTGTCGTGTGATTTTTTTTCAAAGGCCAGCCTCGCTCTTGTACACAATACCTGTTTTTTTTGTTTTCCTATTTTCTTTCTTTTCCCATCCCGGTGACATATCGCACTAGGCGTGTCCCGAACCCGATGATGAGGGGGTGAAGGCGGCGGAAGGCTTTCGGAATTTCGATTGGCCGACTAAACGTTGTATTCCCGACCGACAAAGGATTTACATAGTTCGCAACGCGTTGAACGTCGCCCGTTTAGAATTTTCCTCTTGGTTTTATTGTCTGTCGGCGCTAACCGGAAATGCCTTGCGGCTATCACTTTTCAAACTTAATCGTTCGTATTCCCGGGTTGTGTTTAACCAACCGCGGATTCTATAGTAGGTACTTAGGATTTGGCTGTTATGTATGTATATATATATATATATATATATATATATATGTATGTAAATATATATATATATATATATGTATATGTATGTAAATATATATATATACACATGCTAAAATCTTCCTAACCTTTTTCAACTATTCCCGCTCCCATTACCAACCCACCTGAGTAAAATCACGATACGCACAAATTTACCCTAGAGCTGTTAATCCGCTTTCTATTGGTAACACTGTTGTCCGAGCCACTTTCCTAGGCACCTATTGCCAGGTCGTTGTTTGATAATAGTTGGAAAGATCGAGAGGATGGTAACGTCGTTGTTCGTTCTTACCGACGGAGGGGTTCTGGGAAGGCGTCTGATGTGCGATCTACCGTTCTCGTTATCATTGTCATCGTCATTATCGTCGACAGGAAGATACACGCGACAGACTTGGCAAACGAATAAGAAATGGTTAGTAAGCGATATGGGGCGTCGAGTAAGTTCGTTTCGTTGTATTGACAAGATGACGTCATTGAACTCAACCTGATTCTCATGGTAAAAATACCACAAGAACCGATACCTCTCCCTCCGACGAAGTTCCGTCCATTCGGGCTTATCGTAACTCATTGTGTCCATCGAAATGCCGAGACAGTTTTATTATCGGCCTATGGGAAGAAGTTTAATAGGATGAATGGCAGGGGTCGAAGGTCACGGGACGATTCGGGGGTGGATTTAAATTAATTATTAATTTATTAGATAAAAGTTCGATCAAGTTTTACTCACGGCATGCCGTGTTGTCGTTTCGATGGTCGCAGGCCTACGCAGGATTTTCGCGATGTCAAAACGAACCTTTTTTCATCTGCTATCCATCCATTCGTCATGAATGTAGTTTCATGGGAACGCGACGGCGTCGAAGAATTTTTCGGGACTTTGCATTTAAATACACGGAGTTTGCCGGGCGGAGGGAAAGGTATAGGGACTAGGTAATGGGAGGAAAGGAAATGCAAAGTGACAAGTTTTATACGTATACGCGTATACGTGGGATATAGGGGAAAGCATAGTAGGGATATATGGAGAGTGAACGTGAGAGAGAGAGAGAGAGGGATAGAGGTATAGGGAAGAGTCGAAGGAAATAAGAGAGAGTAACATAAAAAGATAAAAAGTGAAAAACGACAAAATTCGCTCGACGTAAAAACACGGCAAAGCGACTACTCGGCGCTTCCCATATGAATTCGACGCGGGGGGGTGAGAGGGTGGTTTCGCTGATGATTAAATAAGCACCCACTCGAAAGGTTGAGAGAACCAAGATATATATATATATATATATATATATATGACGAAAAAGACGAGACACGATAACGTTGTATCGTAGCGTGATAGATTAGCGGACACTTCAATTATATTTAATTATGACGTAAGAGTCAGGGGCGGAAGGACCGTTGAGGGATGAAAAGTTTCAGCCAGTCGAGGCGGTTTTGTATTTGTTTTAGAAAATGGCCAAGGACGTTAACGATTCTGACGTCATTGTTTGTGTTCTCTCGTTTCTAAAGACAATAGCGGCGACACACGAGTAACGTTTTGTCGCACTTTGTACATTTTTCCCTTTGACTTTTAGGGATTGACCGATTTTTTTTTTTTTTTTTTTTTTTTTTTTT